GACGTTTTTTGGCTACCCATCAATCGAGAAATAGTCGATGGCTTTTTCCGGTAATTCCTAGGGAATCGAAAAATATTTTTTAAACATTATTTTACTTCCGGAAGTCCTTATTCATTTTTTTAACTCCCTGAAGTTTCATCCAACTTTCCCTGGAATTTTCTTCTACCTTACCTTGGAAGCTTCTTCAGCCTCCGCTCGAATGATTCTTTCATCTTCTCCCGCCAGTTTTTTCAACTTTCCTGGAACTTCAAGGATGCTATCAGATTTTTATTGCGGATCCACACTAGCTGCAGGAACATTTAAGAAGTTCTGAAACTTCAGAAAAGTCCAGACTTTTGTGTAAGTTTCTATAAATTAAAGACAGTTTCAATAACTTCTGTTAAAATTTGAAAACCCGGAAATTTCAGAAAACTCCAGCGAACTCCAGTGAACTTAAGGAAACATCATAAATATTTTGGAAACTTCACAAGTCCAGGGAAATTTAATGAATTTCAGAAACTTTGGTGAAGCGCGGAGAACATCAGGACAGATCAATTAATTAATGAAATTACTGAAATTATAAAGGAGTTCCGAGAAACTCAGGCAATTTCCGAAAACTTCAGCAATGTCCTGAGGGGCTCATGCAAATTTAGGAAGTTATATGAACATTAGAACATTGTAAGAACATTTTATGGGAAGTTCTATGCTTTTTAATACCAAAGTCAATAACTTTAAAAACATTAAAAAAATCGGGAAGATCAGAGAATTTCAATGCTGATGTTACAATAAATTCAAGAAAATTGTGAGCACTTAAGAGATTTTGTAATCTTCAAGAAAGTCCAGAGACCTTCAAAGATGATTAGAGATATTCTGGAAGTCTCATTATAATCAGGGAAATTCCAAGCGCTTCGAGGATGACTAGAGAAGGAAATTACAAAAACTCTTAAGTAATTTCTAGGAATTATGCAATATTCCTAAGCGCATTTCAGGAATGTTCCGTTAACTTCAGGGAAATTGCGGAGTCTTCAGGGGTGATTTATGAATATCAGGAATTTTTTTTTGGATCATTAGAACATCCCCCAAGAATCTCTTTCTTCCGAAATCATGTCCTTGTTTCTTTCGACTGTTCCGTAAGCGCTCTATCTTACGACTTTCTTCAGATGTTTCTTTCAATCTACCCTAGGAAGTTTCTGCCAGCGTCTCCAAAAAGTTTCTTTCGTCTTCTCCAGGAAGTTTAATTAATTCTCCCAGAAATTTGTTTCATCTTCTTCTGGAAGTTTGACCATAAGCCAATGGGTTTTTTTTACTTCTATTGGAAGGTTTTTCCAAGCTTCTTCTGGCTTTCCCTGGAAATGGCTAGTTCTGAAAATTTGCTTCCGGTTTCCGAAACTGTTTTGGCTTCCTTTAGATGTGACATCCGTTTTTTCCGATGGTTTATTTAAATTATCGCCCAAGTTTCTCAATTCGTGTCTTGGAAGATTCCCGGATGTTTTTCCAACTTTTCTTAGAACTTTCCTCGAACTTCATCCAGAAGAGCTTCTTTTGTCTTTCTATACTCTATGCCCAGGGAAGTCGAGAAATTTTCCAACCCGAAAAATTCCTAGACCGGACCGGGAATCGAACCCAGCCACCTCCAGCATGGTCTTGCTTTGTAGCTGTGCCCTTACCGACTGAGCTAAGGGAGGGATTGTGGCCTATTTCAAGTGAAAATATTGTTTGCCGTTATTGTCAATAGTTTAGCCGTTGTTTTTGGTTTATTTTGGTTTCATTTAATGATATTTAATTGAAAAAGTACTCACAATTTTGATCACTTGAGGACAACGATAATTTAAAAATTAAATTTAAAAAATTAAAGACTGCTTTAAGACTGAGAAAGCCGTTGAACAAAGCAACTCCCCTCAAGTCCCAGTCGTCACCATCGTTAAAATTTTCGCTTTAAAAAACGGCAAAAATATAAAATTAATTAATTGATTAATACCTTCGATACCGATAAGCTTTAAAACAATCTGGCAACGCTGTTTTACAGCAAATTGGCTCGAAATCGCTACGCGATTGTCAAGTTTCGTCCCAGGTTTACAGCATATTTGAACTTTGTACGCTGATGGTCATTTCCCATGTAAAATCGTGTGATGAATCCAAAAATTTAGTCAGGAAAAATCTCAGTATCATAGTTTTCTAGATACAGCTAAAAAACAATATTTCATCTAAAAAAGTTTGTTTTCTAAAATACAAATTTCTCCAGCTATAATAAAGTTATATCAATTACTTTAACGTCAAATTAAAGGTGAAAATTTGCTTTCGATTAACTGGACATTATTTTTTAGTTAGATTAGTGGTATTGTTGGCACAACCACTTCAAAAAAATTACCTTGCTTAGCTGAAATCAAATTATTTTGGGAAAGACGCAAAAACATTTAACTAACTATTTACTTACAACTATAGACTAATCTAACTGAAAAATAATCGGTTGGAAATGCTAACATGAAGCTTTAGTGTGATAATTTATAAGCTAGAGAATGATCTTTTAGAAGAGGGTAGGTGGATAGTTCCGTTAGAGTACGGCAGTATGAAAATTGAATAGAAGTTGAAAATGAGCGAAGGGCCATTAATGCGACAGTTTTTAAAGTTAGACGCACATCTTTTACCTAACCCGTACGATGTACGCGGAGACTTGAAGTATGTCTCAAAGTCTACAGGCAAAAAATATGCGTCCTTCTTTTGCTCATAAACTGACTGCGGCTGTGGAATAGTTCTAGCGACGTTTCATCACTACCTAAAGCCCCACGTGTGCGAGAGCATTTCCAGTCGATGGTGTGTTATAATGCAATTCTTCTTTACCCACCTATTGTGTTGCTCCTCTCGTCATGACCAACTTGGTCATCTCAGAGAGAAGGCAGTAGGGTGGTTGTTGCGTGCTGTACCATCATCAGCATTGTTGACGGTTACTCCCGCCTTGAGTTGTTACATTCAAAGTGTTTTTATGTTACTTCATACGCGAAGTTAACGATTTTCAGAGTTGGTTGGAAATGCTAACATGAAGCTTTAGTGTGATGATTTATTAGCTAGAGAATGATCTTTTATCCACCTACCCTCTTCTAAAAGATCATTCTCTAGCTAATAAATTATCACACTAAAGCTTCATGTTAGCATTTCCAACCAACTCTGAAAATCGCCAACTTCCCGTATGAAGTAACATAAAAACACTTTGAATGAAAAATAATGATTTGTTGATCGAAATAAAAATTTCTCACCTTTAATTTGACGTTGAAGTAATTGATCTAGCTTTATTACAGCCAGATACATTTGTATTTTAGAAAGCAAAGTTTTTTTTTTAATGTGAAATATCGTTTTAAGCTGTTTCTAGAAAAAAATCCCACTGAGATTTTTTAACTACATTTTTGGATTCAGCGCACGATGTTTCAAAAGGATCATAGGCAGGCATGGAAAATCATTTGCATTCATTTCGTGCATTCATTTACATTCATTTGTCCCTAACTTTTTCAACAACAGAATTCCGCAAAATAATGTATAAAGTTTTTGTAGGCTTTGTTATTAACTACAACTTTTGTTAACAACTTAAATCCGTATCTCTTATGCATGACGAACCAGAGCAAACAGAAGCCACTACTGTTTTTCAGTGAATGTATTTTACATTCACTGAAAAACAGTAATAAGTTCTGCCCGCTCTAGTTCGTGATGCATAAGAGATACAGATTTGAGTTGTGGGCAAAAGTTGTAGTTAATAACAAAACCTACAAAAGCTCTATACATCGTTTTGTAGAATGCTGTTGATGAAAAAAGTTAGAGGCAAATGAATGTAAATGAATGCATGACATGAATGTAAATGATTTTCCATGCCTGATCATAGGTCAAACATTGAAGTTCATTTAGTTTACTTTTATTTGTTAACTAGTGTAATTTTAACTGAAAGTCCTCTAAATTCACTCTGCGAAACATATGAAATTTCAGAAAGCCATAGACATTTCGTTAATATACAACAATTTTAAGAGAGTTAAAGAGACTTTTGAGTGCTGAGCAAGCAGGTTTATTGGTAAATTCACATTAAACTATGGGAGTTATCTCTTCTTTCAGCGAGCGTTTATTAGGCTGCCATAATCGATCCTTGGTAATCTTTACGAATGTGGAGCTTACTGATCTTGGCGGATATGTTTACAGTAATATTTGCGAGTCGCTAGATACAACTGTGTGCTCTGCTTGTTAAACAATTACAAAATTACAGATAACAGTTGACATGGCAACCAAGAAAAATAATCGCATTGCTGATTAAATCATAAATTTCAAATCCATAGTAAATATTTTACTCGTTCGGTTTCTCTATAGGGTAGAGAACTACTTCGGCCTAATCGCCCATTTTGGGCCTATCTAGCAGAATACTTCAAATAAATCCATGATTTCAGAGTTAACAAGTCAAATATGCGTTTGTTACGATACTTGAGTAAATAAGCTACCGAACGAAGTCAATGAGAACGCGTGGTATGAAGGTTTGCACCCATTATTTCCAAAACAAAAGAAACGCTCCGACCGAATCAATTTTCATCTTCCTCCGATAGGCCGATGTGAATTCATTGGCGTTTCGATGGCGTTTCAATGCGTTAGGCCGAGTTTAGAATCCGTAGGCCGAGTTTGGTGTCAAGAAGCAGTGTTAGACTTTTGACAACATCTCAACAATTGGTTTCTCTTTTTTAAATCTTGCGGTACGTGCGGAAAGGTAAATAAATTTGAAAGCCATCAGTAATAATAACATTCCGTTTGGTGCTAAACTGCGCTAGATTAAAAAAAGACTAAGTGCGGGTTGTGCTTAATAGGCCGGAAATGAGGTAGTTAACCCTACTCCAGTTTCTTCCAAGCAAATACGCAAATCAATTGTTAAACTTATACTCTCATCAAAAATGCGGGAAGCTTCATAAATGAAATAATTGCTTATCATAAGCCAGACCACCGCAGCCCGCAACCGTATTGCATATATTCGCGGAAACTCGTTCAAACCCCCATGACCTTACCGTAATACCTTCATCATCCCGCATGGTCGCCCACATAAGTCGGAACTCCGAGAAATTATGAAAACTTTGAGGTATAGGCACACACATATGGCAGACGCTGCCCTCCGGGCTCATTCGAATGGGTCCGGATTGTTGGAATTTATTATAACTTTCCCAACGTGTCTGCTTCTACTGTGTTTGTGTACGTTATAGTTTTATTCCACACTTTGCGCGTCTAGGTACTGGAAAGTTCCACTCTCTGTCGATTTCTGTGTGGCGTGATATAGAGCAAAACCGGAACATAAGGATGCTGGTTTAGTTCAAAGGGGAAAGTTTTAAAGCACTCTCCATATTCATAATGCTCTCGAAAACAAAGTGAGGCTCTTTCCCCCGGAGAGTTGAAGTGAGATTTATGCAGATGAGCTGGCAGGAAAAGCAATCTCCACTCGAACCAACCGTACCCGTAGATGGGAATTAAAATCGAATGATCGTTTACGGAAGTGGCATCCCCAACCGGTGTGAGTTCGAACTCAACGCTACATACTGCCCTGCTGCTACTAGCTGCGGGTTGTAAATTTACTCCTGCTGGCATGATTTGTAGCTTTTGGTCCGCCACCGTTGGGATCCGACGACTTACGAGAAACGTGGAATATTTTAATTAAATTTTAACATCATTAATTATTAAAATACTAATCATAATTCCATTCCGGGTGTAAGAGCGAGGAAGTGTGGGTACGTGGTGGGGATAGAATAAATCCGAGCCTCACCTAAAGCTTCAATAACAGCGGCCAAAGTGACCGCGCATCCATACAAAGCCGGGAGTGCAAAACCACAAACAGCCAGGGAGCATTTTAATGCCTTTCCGCTTGATGTTTTTAATTTTCCTGATTCATGAGCTTTCCGGCGCGAGGCTGACATGAAACGGATGGTGGTTTAGCGCCATGCCATCCGTCCCGCCTCATCCGCGGTCCCATATTCTATCATCACACCACCGTCCCGACGCCTTCTGCTACCGCAAATGGTCGCCGGGCGCTGACGACGAAAAAATGTGCGAGTCATTTTTATTTTAATTAAAAGTAATTCTGAAGGAACGTTGTATAAATTTGCAATTCCGAACCGAGGAGAAAGGTACGGCGGAGAGAGAAAATGGAGAAATTGTGGGCTAGAGAATTACTGCTGTTTTTAGACAGGCCTCGTGTCCGGGACCACCCACCTAATATGAGCTGGCGGGTGCTGCTTATTATTATGAGTCTGTGTCCAGTCTTATGTTTATCTGCTGGGCAGGCTAGTGCGGTTCATTATTATGGCAACACCCGCAGGAAAGCAAATAACCGCACTGTGTTGGAATATTAGTGCTCTTGGAGTTGCGTGAAGCATTTATTTTCATTAGACTGCTCGGTTATGGGATGCATTTCTGTGGCATGAAATTAATACCTACTTCATAAACGAATGAAATTGACTCATAACTTAGATTAATTTTAGAAAATGAGTGTTGTTTTTGGTTAATTTGCTCATCAACTTTGGAGGGAGAGATGCAATTGGATTCAGAGGATTATGTACCTTAATCAATTGATTCGACAGATTTGAGAAAAATGTCTTTAGCTTGCTGCCGTTGAAGCTTATACAAATGTACGAGAAATAAATAGCATACAAGCAAGTTTTAAGACGGCGCCGGTGGTGTAGTGGTAAGCGTGACTGCTTTCTAACCCCAATGGATTTGGGTTCAATCCAAGTCGAGGTCGGTGGGATTTTTCTGAGGCATAAAAATCACTGGTCACCGTAAAGCCGTTGGTCCCGGCCCATGTGTGTTGATGAATGGGTGCGATATCCTACGCAGGTGTGGAAGCTGCCTTCCTGCACATTCGATTGCCGTCAATGGATGGCAATCGATGTCCGTCGGTGATTGGCACTAGATTGCGGAACAGAGACCGACGTTAAATAAAGGAAAGAAACAAGCAAGTTTTTTTTTCAGAATGAATACCTTAGGACAAAACCTTCACCAGATGATTTTCTAGCGGCAGTGCATTTGGGAAAATAAATTAAAAAAATTTGACAAACAAAAAAATTCACAAAATTATTAAAAAAAAAATCATGCGATCATGTGTTTATCCGGTGGGACATCGTAAATTCTGTGTACTCTTTATGCAAATGTGTAATAGAAGCTTACGTTTTTTGGTTTAGTATGTATAGGATTCCACTTATCCCTCAACATTTGACCCTGTCCCAATACTAAGTAGCATACACAACATGTCGTTAACAGTAAGATGAAAGCCAGTTACTTTATGTTGAGGTATAATTGCATCCCATCCCAACTACATACAAATATTCAGCTTTATATACCATTCCAGCGTTATGCTGTAAAGTAGCTGAAAAAAGCTGCAGATACAGCTACACGCAGAAGCTAGAAAAATAGATTTAGAGAGCGTTTACTCAACTCTTTCAGAACCATTATTCAATTTATATGTCGCACTGTATAACAGCAGCCAATAAGCTATAATGTCACTTCTATGGATATATTAATCAGCTTTTAACTTGTAGCTGCAAAACAAACATATCACTCATTTGGTGGCTTCTTGCTGAATAACATAAACATCAAAAGTGCCTTTTCAACAACTAAACAACCTGTACTCAGCTAATAAACTGTGTAACGATACTTTGGAAGCATTTTTAAAGTCATCTAGGTTTATTTTTAGACTGGTGCAGTTTTATAGCTTTTACTCCGCTATTTTACAAAGCTGAACTAACTAGTCCAGAAAAGTGATTCATGTGTACTATTATGCAGCCTCGACTCAGTGATCTTGTTGTAGACGGTCATGTAGATTTGTTAACGTCAGTTCAAAGCGTTGGCGTAGCGAAGTTTCATAGTGTGAAGGTTTGCCAATGCGGTCGCCATGAGTTCGAGTCCAGGTTCCGGTGCAGGGTAATACAATAAATAAATTCCTCCATAAAAAAAGTAAACAATATTTAACCTGGCTTCAAAATAAATCTGTTTAGTGACTATAGAATAATGGGGAAAAGGTTGAATAAGCAACTTTCAGATTCACACACACAACTAAACAGCAGCATAACAGCTGTATGGAAGCGTAAATGGATATGCAATAAGAGCTTGTCACAACCGTCCCAACAGCCATAAGTAGCTGACTAAGTTCGCCAGATTTGTTTGTATAGAAGTTGAGTAAAGGTTACCTTATATCGTATAGTATTTGAATACAACTTGAGGCTGTATAAATGAAATGAGTAAAGCGTTTACATTGTTAAAATTGTTAGTTGGGATACACAGTTGTTTATGATGTCCTTATTCTTATTTTGTGAGGAAACCCATTTTTCCATTTATTTTTTCTACGCACATGACAAAATTGGTCTATTCTGTGGCTCATATTGGAAGCATCTAAACGCAACTGGTATGAAACTTCTATGAATCTTGAATTCAGAACAGCCGTTTTGTTCGCGGAGGGTTCAGGATCGGGATGGGAGTTGGGAATGGTAGGTTTTTGCGCTAGCGAATGGGTTTTTGGTTCCCGCTGCAAGGATCGTTTTTTAAATACAATACAAACGGCTGCCAAGTCCGATGCGAAGGTAATCGGATCGCTTGCGCTGGATGGTGTTGCGAACTTCCTTTTTTCTTTTCTGGAATATAGCGAAGTGATTGATTAACTTTGGCCCTTTGAACCGGAGTGCTGGCTATTTGCCACAACCGGGTATTAGTTCTACTTAAGTTAGGTTCCACCTAAAAAGAGTCCGGTGCTACGAACTTACTTTTTTCCTTTCTGGAATATAGCGAAGTGATTGATTAACTTTGGCCCTTTGAACCGGAGTGCTGGCTATTTGCCACAACCGGGTATTAGTTCTACTTAAGTTAGGTTCCACCTAAAAAGAGTCCGGTGCTACATGCCAGTCTTAGGGCTGGCAGTATGACGTTGCCGGGTTCAATTTTAAGGTTGGATTACTGACTCTGTAGACCTGGATCACTGGTTATTCTGCTAAACTCAAGATTGGGTTCTGGGAAATAGCTATCCGGCGCTACATGCCAGTCTTAGGGGTGGCAGTATGACGCTCCCGGAGTTAACTTTTTCACTACATATTACCAACTTGGGTTGTGGCCAGACCGAAAAGGTTTCGGATGAAATGAGTTCCGCATGGAGTACCTTATGAACGTAACACAAAAAGTGAATCTTTATTTTCAAAATGTTCCCCTTATATAGGGGTTTTGGGCCCTAGAATTTGGGCGTTGGTACACACTATCCCAGTCAGTCATTTTTAGCAAGTTTTTAAGTTGCGGAACTGTTCGGTAAAAATAAAAAAAAACTGTGTAAAAGCCAAAGTTGAGAAAATGTGTTACGAAAATTGACAGACCTACTTCTGTTAACCCCGTTCAATCAAGAAAAAAATATATTTGTCGATTATATCGAATCTTTACGAATAACGGTCATTTGAATTTTAACCGAGTTTTTGAGTAATTCAAAAACCCAGTAAAAAACTACTGACTCCTGTATAAAAATCTAAGTGCGCATGTGCGCTTTGCTGCTATGTAAAAGTCTAATTCAGCTACGCTCAAGTCCCTACGTACAAGTCCGTAGTCCTAAGTCCTACGTCCTTAGTCCTTCCATGCACCGCCTAAGTGACGATACGGTTTTATTTACGTCCCGAATTTTATTACCTTTCCTCTAATTTCGGGAGTCGGGCGATGCGTGTGATCATCCCGCGCTACAATTCTTAAACAATGTACTTCTTAAGGTAGACGCGAGCCTTACCTCTTGCAGGTAATTGACTGAACCTTCTCTAACATCTTCTAGCTGGTTCTATAAATGCGCCCTTGCTTGTTGAGGTATCGTTCCTCTAGTACTCAGCCGTCCCACCGCGTATCGAGTCTTTTACGACCTTTTAATATGCTAGCGCTCTATCCTCATCTCCCTATCGAGCAGATGCCCTTCGCTCTACGCACGGTTCAAGTGCACGCCTAGCGCGCTGCATGCTATGATGCCCCTTTAAACGGAGAAGCTGCAGAGAAAGTAAAAGTCTATTCTAATCGGCAGGTATTCGTACTG